GCGTGAGCATTTTGTAGATTCTGTCAATTCTGCCAAACCACCAGACCAGTTCACGAAATACTACTGGTCGTCATCTCCGGCTGTCGTCAAATAAGCAGCAGTGACAAATATCATCCTCCGCTTAGAGAGTTTACCAAGCGAACCGTGGATTTAGCTGGATTTTCTTCCGGATATTTGAAATAAAATTTTTTCTAATCCAAGTGACGGATAGGCTATTTTCTCACCAGATATCCTTAATCAGGCGTGGTTTTTCATCGGTTTTCGTTTTTACACATTGCCCATGATTCTACAGCGATGTGATTAGCAGGTGGACGATGTGATTAATCAGTTTCATCAAGCTTTGTTTGGCTCTTACACTGTCTGTTCCGTTTTGTTTTTAAATCAAATGTCTTTCACTCGAATTGCCTTAAACCGTCAATTAGATGTTATTAGTTTTGGGTTGCCCTCGTCAACGGTGCAGAGCTGCAGTAAGTCTTTCCCTCTCATATGTCGAACTTTCTAATGGGTGCTGACTGATTTTGACTGCAGACTGAGGTTCATCATTTTCTACAACCAGCAAGCTTTGTTTTGCAAGCATTGCAAGAGTATGTCATTGTCGCAGACTGAGTCTTGTAAGGTGGATAGAAAAATTCATCCATCAGTGAAGAGGATCACAGATCAACTGAAGCCTTATTAAACTTGTATACTAGATCTGTACTATAATTGGAATGGTTCTTTATTGCATCTGCACTGTCTTCTGGAAGTTTAATTTTATGCTGTAACTTTGATCTGGAATGAGGCTTAAACGGTAGCGTACTTTCATTGATACGTTTTCTAATCACCATGTGTATTGAGAATTACCTAGCTTCACAAACTGCCGCCTTGTAGACTCTACTCATCTCGACCTGCTTCCTACCCGCTACCATTCACGTTTAAGCATCAAGTTCTATCCTAAACGTGGATACCGAACATAGACACATCCGCACACCATATGTTATTGCATTAAAACACATGCACAAGGACGCATTAAAGAAAAATCCACTGTACTGAGCTGAATAGTGGCAGGACTGTTGAGCGGCCCTCACATTAAAACCCGCATTAAACCAAACAATGCCTTGATAAATTTCACACTGCAGCCTATGATTATAATGCTGAGCCACAGTTCCAAGACTACGGTCACTATATACATTAACATTCACTTTGAGGATTGGTATAACGCATTTGAGGTAGCACTGTCAGGCTCATTCCACATTATGATCGCCTTTAGCAAGCACTATAACAACAGGATTACAAGACAATTTTGGACGCGATGATCGTTGGGACGTTGAGTTCATGCATGCAAACGACAGGATAAAGGCATACTGCACATTATTCCTAGGTCAATAGAAACGTTTAAGAAGCTGTGCCTGAGCGATACACTAGGCGCGTCCTGTGAAATTTATGATGTCATTGATAATCTGAGAAGTAGAGATCGCATTTCAGGTACATACCGGAAAAGGGGGTCAAAGGGAAAGAGAAAGAACAAAATGCTCCTGAAGAGATTTTAAACATCAATCTCTTCGATCCTATCTACGACCCCCAACGAAGTGAATCTTTATATTTACGAGACTATATAAATATGAATTTGAGTGTATAATTATGCATAGAATATTTATCTTAGTCAAAGTTGAAGCCACCTTATACATGTACATAAATATGGGCTCTACTTATTTTTCTGAAACAGCAAAATCGGTTGTTTTTTTGTGATGCCACTCTTTCTGTAGAAAATCAGCAGTGTTTATTAAACAGAATAACGTTGGAGAAAAATAACAGGTTTTGTTACTTTTATAACGGCATCGAACCATTTTTACACGTCACATAAAGCAAAACGTTTCGAATAATCGCAGTTATGCGAAACTATAAATTCGAACCGTGTTTTACCGCTTTCCTTTAGCAAAGCTTTTGGAGGGCATTTCAGATGGTTCAGGTTCCTGCGCAGCATCCCTGAGCTTCATACAAACTCTACTGAAGAAGAACATAGAAATTATGTTTGAAACTTTTGAGGCTTGGTTTCTTATAACTGTTTGTTAGGACCTTGTTTCGTGTATGGATATGTTGAAAACTGTCTCTAAGTAATAGAAATTTATCTCTTTTCAAAAAATATTTCATGTTTTATTATTTCACGTGCTGTTTTATTTTTTATTTTTTTGTATTTTAAAAACATTTAATTTGTCTATTTTGCTTTTGTGAAACGCTGCGTTTAAATTTGACGTCTGATTTTATTCTTAGAACAGAGGCCCCGGTCTTGATCACAATGTGAAAGAGGCGTGGGACCTTGGATATACGGGCAAAAATGTTGTCGTCACAATTCTTGACGATGGACTGGAACGAACGCACCCGGATATAGCGCCTAATTACGTATGTCATGTTCGAGTATCGCTTTGTTACCTTCGTTGTCGTGCTGTTGAAACGAGGTTAAATGTACAGCTTAAGATAAGTTCGGTCATTTCCGGTAGATGAGGTAAAAGTTAGTTAAATGTCAGTGTTTCGGTCTGTTTTTTATGGACCGTTTATCTGGTAGAAGTCTTTTTTCGCTAAGTTCTAGCTGATTTGCTTAAGTGTCTCTGAAACGATGTGAAATGTATGCAAGTTTTCCACTGACCAGAGGTAGAGCCTACAAAACTATGTCTCTTTCCAACGAAATGTGCTACAAATCTTCGGTTCAGTGTAAAAGTTTTTTGACGGGCGCCTTGCAGTTGTGAGTTTCATCATTGAGCCCACTTCTGTTTTCTACGACGACAGATGTGACCGCTGAAGATCATCAGGTAACATTCAGCAGGTCATATTGTGTGTTCTATGCAAATGACATAGTCAGACTGCAGTGCATGGAGAAGTGCTCTTAAGGAAAGCGGCCTTCCGCTCAGCAAAGGACAGTCAAAATACATGGCAGATTATTTTAGTAGAAATGACATAGCGAAAGTCAAGGAATCGGTGAAGTATGGGAGGGTTTCTTGTTTTAAAGCCAAGAATGCAAATATCTTATTTCTGTCCTTCAGGTGAATGAGGAAATCGACCGTGAATTAAGAAATGGGTCAGAAAGAATTTGGTTCGCATGAGAGAATCGAGGGTTATGCCATCTAATAGGTAGAAGGGTTTACGTCAAATTAACGGAAAATGTTTACAGAACCATAGTAAGACCGGTACGTCTGTGCGGAGCGGGATGTTTAGCTATCTTAAAGAGACATGAGCAATAGCTAAGCTCTAAAAATGCCAATGCTGAGATGGTTGTATTATTTCAGATAAGGCTCATTAAGATAGCTCTTATTTCAAACGCTGACTAAGGGAAAGTTACGTTGGCTAGGCCACGTGAAAAAGATCTGACAAGAATGTTAACAGTGTGATCTGAGCACTGATGCTTCCAAGGAAGAAAAGAAGGGAAGGACCGAAGAAAAGGTGGTACGATGTTTAAGGAACGATGTGAAGCTGTCTGTATCATCGTAGATTAAACCAAACACTAGAAAATGTTTAGGCAGTTGACATGACAGCGTTCCTTGATAAAGAAACGCGCTAGGAAGAGAAATTAATAATTTTTTAATTGCATAATATAGACACTGCTTTGGTTAAGATGATGAATCTGGTTCTTA